GGGTCAGTGACCCCAGGTTTCAGACACCAAGGAAATGTGGCCGGGCAACAACAAGGCCAGTTTCGCCTCCTGTAAGATTGTAAAGCCAAACCCTGTTCTTTCTTCCTAAACCCAACCAAATGTGTGGTTGTTTATTTTGAAAGAGACTGTATGTAAACGTTAAATTTCCTGTGAAAATGGAAGTGTATTATGAAAACAAACAGTGCACGTAACAGGCAGAGTTTGACACAGCATCCCAGAGCATCAACAACCAACGCACCCAGGGTACCTTGCACATTGCCTCTCGATGTCCATGACCAAACATTGAAATGTGACAAGGTCGGAGTGAGAATGTGTTGTATCTTAAGGTACGTCATCATCATGTTTCTTTTCCTGAACCTTACCTGTTAAGTATGTAAATGTCATTGTCATGTATGATGTATTGTCATTGTCAAGCAGCAGCCAAAAATCTAAAAAGAGAATAAAAAGGCCTGAACTGCACTGCAGAAGTTTGAAGGAGCTGAACGGATTATATTTCATGGGAGTTTGTTCCTTGCATGACTTCACCTGACAAATAAATAAAATGATTTATTGATTGATTGAAGTTATGAAGCTACGTTAGCTGTCTCCTGATGCCCTCAGTCTTTGTGCTAAGCTAAGCTAACTGGGTGTTAGCTGTAGACATGGGAGTGGTATCAAGTTCTCCTCATCCAACTCTGCAAAAAGCGAATTTTATCATGTCCCAAAATGATCACTATTCTAAGTGACAGAACAGTGATCATTTCAGTATAAATATGCAAGCTCATTTCCCACACGACATCCGTTTGTTTAATGTTGTTTGTATAATCAAAGCACACAGTTTAATTAAAAATAGTTCATCATTTTACCTTTAATTCAGCACTAAATCATCATCTGGATGCTTCCCAGCCCCCAAACGAACCATTACTGGAGTGAGAGCGGCGTTCATTTGCTTAAACGGTGATGAGATTGTGTAAATTGGAGAGGATGCTGTGTTTGCTTTAACAAATCAAAGACTCTTCAGTATCACCTCCACTGAGAAGAATACGCTTATGTAAAGTGATTATATCTTCAAATCTGAGCTGTTGTGTGCTTCTGAAGAGGTTTTTGAACCATTACACTTCACTCTTTCTGAGGTTGATCTTAATGATTTATTTCTGTTTAAATATGTTACTGAACATGGTCTGAACAGACGATAATGTTTAATGTGATTTATAAGATCAACTCCCCGTACAATCATACAGATTCTCTGCTACACTAATATGTTCACTACATTGTGGTTAAAATCCATTAGAGCTGTAATTAAGATATGATTTCATTTTAATTTAATGACAATTTCATTACGCCAGAAACACATTCCCACAATACTGCTGATTGCGGGCCGACTCATTTTAATTGAAAATGAATGCATTCTTATTTACATTTTGTGAATTACATAAATGTTTCCATTTGAGGCTGCAGACAAAGATGAAGATTATCAGAGATGAAGAGGCAGATGCAGATACAAATATCTGTTTTGCAAATGACAACAATTCACTGCTGTTACTGCCTAATCTCCTTTTATTGACAGTACATAGACGCACACTCACTCTGTCTGCACAACACTAAAAGGCTTTAGTCTCTCTGTATGTGGTGAGGCAAGTTTATCTATAAAGCATATTTCAGCTACAAGGGAATTCAGCTTGTTCCACATAAAACATGAAAAGAAAATGCTAAAGAAACACTTAAAAAAGACATTTAAATACATTTCAAATCAGTCGTTGAAGAGAGAACAGAAAGAAATAAAAAGAAGCTGAAACAGAATAAGACAGGTATAAAATATAAGAATAAAAGTTACATTGCCGTCCATCCATCCCTTCTTCCATCCATTGTCATCCGCTTATACGGTGCCAGGTTGCGGGGGTAGCAGGCCAGATGAGACATGTAATCCCTCCAGCATGTTCTGGGTCTGCCCCGGGGCCTCCTACCAGTGGGACGTGCCCAGAGCACCCCCAACGAAAGGCGCCCAAGAGGCATTCTGATCAGATGCCCGAACCACCTCAACTGACCCCTTTCAACGCTCTACTCCGAGCTCCCTCTGGATGTCCAAGCTCCTCACCCTATCTCTAAGGCTGAGCCCAGCCACCCCACGTCGGAAACTCATTTCTGCCACTCATATCCATGACCTCATTCTTTCGATCACTACCCAGAGCTCATGACCATAGGTGAGGATTGGGACGTAGATGGACCAGTAAATCAAAAGCTTCGCCTTCTGGCTCAGCTCCTTCTCCACCACAATGGTCCAGTGCCCGCATCACTGCAGACGCCGCTGCCGATCCAGCTTATGCTCCATTCTACCCTCACTCATGAACAAGACCCCGAGATACTTGAACTCCCTCGCTTGAGGCAGTAACTCTCTTCCAACCTGTTACAGCGCAATGTAAGACATAATTAAAATATTTCAGTTTCGGTTCAGTTTAGATTTGAAGGAAAGTGTTGCAGCAGACCTGCAGATTTGACTGGTAGTTACTTCCAGATGTATGATGTATCATAATATATATCTGTACTTTTACCTGAGTAAAATGTTTAATACAGGACATTTGTATGTGATACAGTACATCCCCCTGTCGTTATTTAAAGTCTTCATAGTATTTCTATCGTCTATTTACCCTCTGGATTGCTGAAGTTATATCAGGCTACACTCAGGTACAGTATTCATACATCTTGCTGGTGATCTGATGCTCATGCTCACAGTCCATTTTTCTGATGTTCTCACCTCCTTCATTCAGCCCCATTTTCTTTTAACTGCTGGTCACACTGTCCTCTTTATCTCAAGAAGAATTATGAATTTGCCATTCTGTGTGTTCTCTCTGTCGCCCACCATCATCTACTTCTACTGTCAGAGCTCTCTGCTGGAGTCAACCCGGTCCGATGCCGGAGGGCCCACTGCAGGCGAGCGGATCCTTATCTCTTCCATGTCGGCTTCCCCCTGGCGTAACTGTTCATCTCTCTGCCCGGCAGGCTCTTGCTGTTACTGTACCTCATCACTTGGTGTCGACCTGGAGGCTTATTAGCTATTGGTCATCTCCAATTCAGACCCCCTCCTGTGATGACGGATAGAAAGACTGGAGAGGAAGGAAGAGGGGAAATGAAGGGCTGGGTGCACGATATTTCTGTTACAAGAAGGGCCCTCGTAGAAAAGCTTTCCTCAAAACGATGTGTCCAAATATGTGTATGAGTGTGTCCTATTCAGGGACAAAAACCTGGTAACAACTGACGAGGTGAAGACTTTAAGTTATGACTAGGGTTGGAGTTTGGTTACGGTGAAGCCCTATTCAGACCGAAGGTTCGTGATGAAATGAAACAGTTTTAGAACGTTGCAGAGAAAAGCACATCACCTGTTTCAACAGCCAGTCAGCTTGTAGTGAGAAATCCACTGGTCAAGTCGAAATGACCGCAGACAGTAGCTATGTTTCCATCCAAAAGTGATTCGAACATAACCGTTTCCATCCCCCGTTTTCCATCCCCAAGTTTCTGCAAAGTGCTGTAAAGTTTAGCTGATTCAAAACACACATTAAACATGGCTTAATAGAGACAATTTCAAACACAAGTACACAAATCAGCTTCACTATAACTCGCACCATTCACAGACAAACACTTGTCTTTATCTGGACACATTTTCCCCACAACATGCTAACGTTATTAGCACAAGCCTATGGCATTTTACGTTGTATAATTTAGCCTGGCAGCTGGCGATCTTTTCCTCTTCTCATATGAAGCCAGGGACAACAGCAACATTTAACAAAGGTAACATTACAAAATTAGACTCTATTACAACTCACAAGGTTCAACGACAAAACAACTGTCTTATATGTTTTCCAAACATGCTAACGTTATTAGGACAAGCCTATGACATTATACATTGTATAAATTAGCCTAGCAAAGAGCAGCAGTTGCAGCATGGCTACGTGCGTTAGCCTCACCCTCTGCTGTAGCAGCTTAAGTTTCTTAGGTCATGTTTTTTATTTCATTCATTCATGTTGTTTCCTGTTTTACTTTGAAATATCCTCTCGTTTCAGATCACTTCACTTCCTGCCCCTGTGTGTTTTCCCTCCCTTTTGATGACTTCACCTGTGTCTGACTGTCTGCCCCGCCCTGATTAGCTTCACCTGTGTCTCAATATCCTTCCCCTCACCACAGTATTTAGTGTGTGTCTTGTTTTTACTCAGTGCCAGTTCATCTTAGCTCCTTGGTGTCTAGCATTTTGGAGTTAGCCTGTTGATTGACTCTGATTCATACCTATTGGATTTGTTTGCCTTTACTGGTCATCCTTCTGTGTACCCAACCAACCTTTTGACCAGTGAAGACTGTTGTTTTACCTGAGCTGTCTCCAGAGTCATACATTTCAGGTCCACTCTCATCTGGTTCATCAGTTGATACATGTGCACTTTCACCGACTGGCTCTGAGGTAGATGGTTTGTCAGTCTCTTGTTAAAAAAGTTACAAAACAATCCATTGTGGCTCACAAGAACGTCGGTACACTTGGAATAATAATACAGCTAAATAGCCACTATTGTTAGCTTACCACTTCACCGTGTTGTTATGGATAAGTGCTGCACAGTGATTTAGCATTAGCTAGCATACATGACTGCACAAGGATTCATGGCTAACAGTTAGCCTATCATCAATAGAGTGCCCCAGGGATGACGCTTTTCTGTAGGCCAACACTTAGTGACCATCGCACTTGTTCCTTGTCCTTAGATTGTTGCCAAAAAAAATCTCTGTGGCAAGTATTTTTGATTTTTGATTTTGCACAGCAAGATAATATCAAATGAACACCACTTTCATTTTCAGTTGCATAAAAAGACCTTAGAGAAACATTGTAATATGCAATTTATCAGACTGTTGATTTGAAAGATGAGTACTGTCTTTAAGAGTAAATCCAGGGTGTGCAGAATAAAGATGTGGTTAAAGACTATAATGGTGTTTGTGTAACACTCAGAGAGGAAACCAAAGCCAAGGTATCGAATTGTCAGTTTTTTATTCATCAAATTCCAATTAACAACAGACAAACAGAAACATAACTGTGATAAACTGTACATCCTACATCATTCTGTTTCCTTACATCCTCTCTTCTACTTCAGACACTCGTCTCTCTTTGCTCTCTCCTTCGTCTCTCTTGTTCTTCATACTTCTTGTCCTCTATCCACACTCCTCTTGTTCAGAGCTCGTCAGAGTGGAAAGCTGAAGGCCAGAGGGGAAAATGAGGTGTTCATCAGTCCAAGTTAGTTCATCAATCTCAGTTATTGCAGGTGTAAATATTAAATCCCAACCTGCAGTTTCTTGGCTGATATTACCATACCTTGTGAGCAATAAATATTTCAGTAGAAACAGACAACTTTTCACTGTGTAACATTTCCAAGTGGTGTTCTGGTTGGTGCCACTGTCACAAAGACAACTGGATGCACATGGACACTCAGGCTCCCCTTTACTGTTTGTGTCATTCTTGCTATTGCTTGTTTTGGACTCTAATTTTAAGCATACATTTTAAATAGTTTGTTGAACCCAGTCTGACTCCGAAGTCGTCAAATAGCAGCGCTTGGTCAGTGACTTCTGGCAACAGACACAGACGAAAAAAGCCGTCCTTTCACGTCAACATTACAGATGATATTCAGGGGGAAACGTGGCAGGACTATAATGCATATAATACACCTAATATGTATTATAGTAGCACAATTATCAGGACTGAGGACAGAAATGAGCTCTACAGTGATCAAGCTGTGCGCATGTGTGTTTAAAGAGAGGCCGAAAGAGAGGGAGCGAAGGTGGAAGGTGGACTATTTCATGCAATGTTTCTGTAAGTTATTAATACTGTAACTTACTCAGAGTGCTACTTCATTACTTTTCGTCCCACCTGCCTGAACTGCCCCTGGGTTTTTATTTATGTTTTGTTATCTTGTGGACTTTGTTTTGGGGTTTTCTGTTTGTGTTTGTCCTTGTTTTTTATGTTATTAATTTGTGTTTAATCTGTTTGCTGTTTTATTTTGTAGATTCTCTCCTCATGTGTCTTGTCTGGTTTTACTTCCTGTCCTGTTTTGGATGTTTTGAAAAACGCCTGAAATACACACACACGCACGACCAGGACCTATACATGCATTAAATGGAGAGACGTCAGGGTGAAGTGGCTGCCTTGGACAGGCGCCCTGAGCAATTGGGGCTTCAGTGCCTTGCTTAAGGGCACCTCTGCAGTGCCCAGGAGGCAATTTTGCACCTTTCCAGCTACCAGTGCACACTCCATGCTTGGTCTGTACAGAGACTTGAATCAGTGGCCCTCCAGTTTCCAAGCCAAGTCCCTATGCACTGAGCTCCTGCCGCCCCCTTTCAGTGTATTCATTGTATAATATCATTGTAATTTAAAATCTATAATATTATACAACTGTAGGATTGAAGAAAATGCAATGACCAACTATTCGTAGATTCAGTTTGCTACCGAAGAATAAATCCCACAAAGTCACCTTTGTGAGTGGGTTCTAAGAAGAAAATCTTCAAAGGAACAGTTGGTGAAAGAGGATCATTGTTATCTTAAATTAATATTTTCCATCAAGTTACAAGCAAAAAATCCACAGATTCATTTTACAGCAAAAGCTTGTCTATTTCCACTTTAACCTGACTGTATGAAAGGTTTTTTTCTTCTGTTTTGCTGCTCATGTCTCGGCCTTGAACCTTCTCCTCTGTAAATTAACAGCTCCTTTATGTTTATGATAACTGTTGCTAACATATCTTTCTGCTCCCCGGTCTTATTCGAGAACATCTATTTATCAAGTGTTGTATTGTGAAAAACATAAGCCTCCAGTTCAAGTTTTCACTACAGTTAATTAGCAGTATTTTTAATGGGCCGTTGGTTCTGATAATTGAATAAAGAAGATGAGACTGGAAGTTTATTTTATGCCTAATGTATCTGTGCAATTTAGCGGGTTAAAAGGGCGTCATATTAATTGTGTTACTGTGTTAGTCAGTGAGTGATTACGCTCTGACAGCTCCATCACTGCTATTATCTGCACAGCCAGGATTATCACGATGAGCATATAGTTTGCTTTTCAGTGCATTCTCATGCTGATTAATAATCAGTTTATATTCTGAATATCAAAACCTTTCACCCATGATTTGGTGCATGTAAATATCATGAATAAGACGTTAAGAATCTTATTCATGATATTAGTTATTAATCATCGTCATGGATAAATGATCAGTTAGTATGAGGTGATGTTTTCTTACATGTGAGGGTTTCAGTTAGCTGGTGAATACCTTCCTCCTCCTCATCAGGAGCTACCAAACTGGCCGCAAAAGTCCAGATCATCTCCAACCAATCGGTGCTCTCCTGAGTGGCCGGGACTCCAACAGGGCTCGATTTTACTGGGCGATAACCAGCTGCATAGAATAAAGAAATGGAACAATGTAAGTAAAAGTAGGATGAAATGTTTTAAGAAGTAAAAATTTAACTTGAACAAGTAAACAGGAAGTGGACAAAATATCAGGAGCACCTACAAACAACAGTCTCAAAAAGGTAGTATGTATAAAATAGCATGTATACTGTTTGTATTAGGGCTGCCTCCTTATAGGCGACCAAATGTTAGTCGGCCATAAAGGTCATTCGTCGGCAAGATTTCATTTGTCGCTTAGTCGCAGAAAAAGAAACCAAAAAAAAAAAAAACAAAGTTGAAACTCTAGTAGGAGCTGCACCTTGTCAAAATATTTCAAACCCTATATGACTGGACCATGTGTGAATTTAATTTGAAAGGACAGACACAGGAAGTGTCCACGCTCAGCAGTCAGACAGGAGTCAGGTTAATTACCAGGGCTGGTACCTGCGGATATTCCACAGGCTAGTTAATAACATGTCGGGCAGGAAATCCAAAGTGTGGGATCATTTTGAGAAGGTGAAGGACAAACCCAAGGTGATATGTAAACTCATCTTCATTGGTCGACTACAAACATGACGTATCATCTGAAACATGGAAGTAGCTACATGCCCATTAGCCCACAGTGTCATTAACAGGCGGCTCGCTCAGTGTGTGAAGTGCACTTGTAGATAAAATATAGGCCTATATTAATAAAGGTTCATTAGTACAGTTTTGTATTTCTCTGTAATGTAGCACAGTGTTAACAATGTTACTGATACTATTCTTTCTCACACCTTCAACTCAAACCACCAAGATATATCATTTAATAATCAAATTGATATCATAAACATGTGGGCGACTAGTCGACTAATGGACCTAAATGACGACTATTGGTCGACTAAGAAAATTCATTGTCAGAGGCAGCCTTAGTATATATTGTATAAAATAAATGTGTACATGCTGGAGCTCACACACTGTGGTTTATATATAGACACTGTAAGTCTCAGCTTGGTCAAACAGGTTGACAGATTAGATATATTTAAATTTAGTATAGGTGGTGAATGTGATATGTGTGATAGGTCAGGCGTCTTTGCTTGCCTCTAGCCTTCATACCCCTCTTGGCAATGGCGGGAGGAGGAGGGAGACCTGAGGAGAAGAGACACACGAATAGAACGTTAACAGAGAAAGCATGATGTGAAGAGGGACAAAGAAAAAGACACATAAAAGTTGATAAAGCCACACAGGAGAACAACAATCAGAGACCTTCATCGTGACGCATATTTTCAGTCACTCACATACAGCTTTAGATGTATTGTTTTGCAGGCAAACATGATAAAAAGACTGGCACACACTTTTCATCTTACAGAACATGTTAGGACTTACTGTATCTCTCTTGATGATGCAGAGGACATGCTGGATGAGAACACAGCAACAACACAGACAAGATTTCAGCAGCATTTCAACACAGTTTTATCAGCAGCTCTGACGCTGACATTGTCTGTCCCAATATAGTGTATATCTCACCACTACAGTGTCACTTGCTAACTTTTGGTTTCCACTCCAGTGGTTTAAATTACCACCTTAAACACACCTGCCAAAAAAAAAAAATTCTAACAAGGCGACCTTTGTAAAAGGTTCATAAGTTCTAACTAATGTCTTTTTCAATGGTTAATAAAACAATTAGCAATGCTTCTCAGATCAGTCAGCTATAAGACAATAATTCAAATAGAATTTAGGATGCAAGGTCTGTGTTTATCCTTCTCCAGTAGCTTTGTTTCTGTAGCTCTTTATTTAATCAGGTAGACCGCTTCAGTGATCAGTTTGAGCCCTGATCTGCTGGGAAACAGCTGCAGAGAATCAGAGGTAAAAATCCATTCATTAACCAATTATTGATATTTAAAAGTGCAGACGTAATGGATAATCATACAAATAATTTATTAATTTATCAAATGACTGATTATCTATTGTTGGAGGCTTATTAGAAAGCGAGAACCTACAGTGTATGATGTTTATTGACAACGTACTAACATCATAAGCCACTGACAACTCTTCTCAGCACCCTTTATCACCAGACGTGGAGATTTTTAACAAACCAAAAAGTTTGTCTTGTTCTCATTCCTGGGGTATCCAATATGGCAGCTTGGTTAGTGGCTGTCAGTGTCAGATTCCAAAGCACAAAGAACCCCTTATCGTCTGTATGAGACACAGTGAGCTTTTATCTAACTCAATTGTAAACCCATCCACAGCAGTGACGTAGTATAAAGAGCGAGACAGTCTACATAAGGTGGACGGGTCAAACAAAAGCAGGACTTTTAACCAGAGGACCAATGTTCGTGTCCCATATGAAACTAAAAGTTGATTTTTTTTAAACGATGGAACCTATTCATTGATATATATACCCATCAATATACTTAAAGTAACAAACGTCCCTAATTTAATTCAAACCATGATTTTTTTCTAAATCTAACCAAGTAGCAGGGTTTTCCATACATCCCTTTATTTTATTTTTGGAGCTCTCTGTTTCTCTGGATTAGTGAACACATAAAACAATCCATTGTTTTTCCAATCTGCATTAGATAAAACCGTCGGAGTTGCCATGGAAATTGCAAGATCCGCAACCCGGTGCTGGGTCTAACCTGTGTAACGGCAGCAACAGAAAATCTGTTGATCCAGCGCACCCCTACCCCCCCATCCATTAGCTGAACATACACCAAGGCAAAGCACCAAACATAGAATCTAATTTTGTGGGAAACACTGGAAGTAGTTGTTGACATCTGTGAAATATGTGCTCTTACTTGTGTATGAGCTTTTATTTTGAAGATGATAATAAAGATTCCACTGCCCTCCTCATGGAGAGTTCCAGTCAAGCAGAACTGATGCCTCAAAGCAGAGTCCTGCACAGGGTACCTGACAGGTAACCCCCAGAAAGCTGTGTAAAGGGTAAAAAAAATATGCGTATATTATATATATATAAATTCATGGGTACAGGCACAGGTAAAAGCGGGAGTGAACAAAAATATATATTTTTAATTTTAAGAATAAAACAAATGAAAAAGATGTGCAGTTTGTGTGTAATATTTTGGTATCCAAATTACTCTTATCAAGCCGCAATTCCTATTTTGAAAGTCAGTGACACATGTTGAACCTCTGACCCCTCTGACCCCGATGTGGAGGAATCCAGAGATGAAACTTTGCAGCCTAAGGATGAGGTGGCAGCCTTCATCCAGTTCAAGACACCCAAGGAGGGTCGTTTTGAGGTTTTATGGTGGAGGAAGGAGCATGCTAAAATGTTTCCTAACCTGGCAGTGATTGCACAGAATGTTTTCGCCATTCCAGCATCAAGCACCGACAGTGAAAGAGACTTTCCCTCCGCTGAATTTGTAATTCAAGAACGGAGAACCCAGCTTAATGTAAGCGACTGTAGCCTGTGTGTGTTTAATCACAGGTGTGGGTCGGGTTGCAGGACTTTCATTAACGTGCACAGGCAGATGCAGATTTGACTTAGACATAATGACAGGTAAAGCTCTGGTACTGAGCTTTACAGGTGTTGGCAGGTGCGGGTTTTCAAAGATGTACCTGTGCAGGACTCTGCCTCACAGTCTTTAATTCCTCTGTCACTAGTTTTTGGTCTAGCACCAGGCACACACGCCAGAAATGCTGCACAACTCACCTTTGCTAACAGTTTTGTTTCCTAATCTTAAAATAGTTTTGGGTGATGAAAGCTATGTGGGAACACAGAACTAAAATTTATTTTGAAAAGACACGATGCATGTAACAAGTGAAAATTGACACGTTGTCCCTAGACGTCCAAAACTCATGCTAGAGGCTTTCTAAAGCATAATTGAAGCCGAGGGCTGCTGATCTAAACAGCCTTAATAAGGGCTTTATTAACTAGTAATAAAGCTGTTAACTACAATTTATAAATCACTTTTAAAGGATGACTTAAATGAGAGCGTTATCAAGATATTTACTGAGTCATTACTGTTATTATCTGTCTTTTCTGATGACTTCCACCACAAATAATTTTGCGGACTCATTAGTGAATGTGTGTGTTAAATACACACGGCAGGAGACGGGTAACGTCAGGGTTCAACGGTTTACAAAGCCGGTAACGTTTCTGGTGCTTAATGATGCAAAGGAGGCATTTTAAAGCAAAGCCAGTCAATTACACCCAAAATTATAATTATTTCAGTTTTATTTTGACACTTCTTTGCTCTTCACGATGGCTTTGTCCCAGCAGCTGCTCTCATTAATTGATCTTTTTAATATTCCCCCTCCCAGGTGGGAGAAGCTTTGTGCCTGTTTGTTGCCCAGTGTGGAGGAGGCGTATAATGGATCCTCATAAACAGCTGATTAATGCACTGACATTTCTTTGATTGGCACTCCACACAGATACACCAGGAATAGAGAGCTAGCTTCCCCCCTGCCAACTCTCTGTCGTCCCTTTACTGCCGTTACTCATTCAGTCAGTCTCTCTTTCACTTTACTTTTCCTCTATCCTTCTTTCTTTGATTCTTCTGTCTCTTTTCTTCCTCTCCACTTTCTATAAATCCATTTTCTGTCTCAGTTTCATTTTCATGCTCTCATCCTGCGTCTCTAATCTCCCGCCTGCATCTCTCCACCTTTAGTTTGTGTAGTTTAACAGTCACATCAAAATGATAAAACACAAAGAAAAGAGATTAAAAATACAAATTGTGCCGCAGAGATAAAAGAATAAACCCAGAGGCTTCTGAGAAACCGTCAGGAGGAAAAGAGCAGGAAGTGGCTGTAAGAAACAAACCAGAGCTGGAGAAGAGAAATGATGGAGAGATTTATTCTCTTTGTTTTTCATTATTTTTATACATCATTCTTAACATCGCTCTCTTTCCTTTCTTTGCCTGTTTTTTGCTTCTTTCTTTTTTGTTGTTCTTCTCATCCTTCCTTTCTGTCTCTCTTACTTTTTCAGTTTACTCTTTCTTTCTTCTCTCTTCTTTCTTCCTTTCCTTCTCCTTCCGTCCTCTGTGTTTTACTTTTTCCTTCCCCCTTCACATCTTTCTTTCTTTCTTTCTCTTTCTGTTTTCCTCTTTTCATCCTTCCTTCCTTTCCTTCATTCTTCCTTTCCTCAACCATCTCCCCTTATCTTCCTTTCCTTGTCCTTACTTACTTTCTGTGTTTTTACTTCTGCCTTTTGCTTTCCTTCCTCCCTTCACATCTTTCTTTCTTTCTTTTTGTTTTCTCCTTCCTTCGTTCCTTCCTTCCTCTCTTCTTATCTTCCTTTTCTCCTTCCTTTCTGTTTTCTTTCTTTCTGTCTTTCTCTCCTTCTATTTTCCTTTTTCCTTCTTTCCTTTCTTCCTTACTTCCCTCATCCTCTCTCCTTATCTTCCTTTCCTTCTCCTTTCTTTCTCAGTTTTTTACTTCTTTCTGTCTCTTTCCTTCCTTCCTTGACTTCTTTCTTTCTTTCGTTCTCCTTCCATCTTTCCTTCCTCCCCTCTTTCCTTCATTCCTCCCCTTGATTCTTTCACCCCTCAATCCTCTCTCCTCATCTTTCTCCCTTTCTCTCCAATTTTTGCTTCTTCCCTTCTTCACATCTATCTTTCGTTCTTTGTCTGTCTGCCTTTCACTTTCCTCTGCCCCTCCCTCAAGCCTCCCTCTTTCCTACTTTGCAACTTTTCCCTCTCCTTCCTTCCTTTCTCTTTTCTTTTTTTTTACTTCTTCTCCTTTTCTATCCTTCTGTCTTCCTGTCTTCCTTCCTGGATGTTTTTCTTTTTTTCTCTCTTTCTGTTTAACTCCCTTCTTCCTTCCTCCTGTTTTCTTTTTGGTTTCCTTCCTCCCCTCCTTCTTTCCTCTCCCTGCTTTTACTTTTTCCTTCTGTCCTTCTTACCCTCTTTCTCTCAATCCTCTCTCCTTATCTTCATTTCTGTCTGTTTCTCTCTTTCCTTCCTCCTTTCTTTCTTTCCTCACACGTGTCACTCTGACACTGAACCGTGATATAGTGAATAAGTTTTAACACCCTTGTCATTAACGTCTGATCTGAACTAGAAAATAAACATTGGATGCTTTTAACATTTCATCTGTCTCAATCTAAGTAGTTTCCCTTTTCAAAAATAATCACATACATTAGGAGGTACTCAGATTTTTCTGCTTCTCTGTCAGAGAGAGAAAGAACGAGAGTTTGATTTTAGTGTTGGTGGTGGTGCTGCTTTGTCTCCACGCGCTCTGTCTCTGACATAGACTGTGTTTTTCTATACTGTATGTCTACGCAAGTGTCTTTGTCTCCCCATTTCTATACTATCTGTAGGCCTATTATTTTGATGCTGCTTCTCCACACACACACACACACACACACACACACAGCTCTATCTCTGCTCTTTCACGACGACAGGGAGAATTGCATTTCTTCTTTATTGTCCGAGAATGTCTCCTCGCTGTTTCATTTACACACACTGGCCTTTATTGAAATGTCATGATGGGAGAAAAGCCTTGTGATTAAAAACGCAGCCCGGCATTTTGTCATTGTCAACTTGCAAATATTTGCCTCAGAAAATGGAAGATAACCACAACGTACAGGAGACGCTTCGCCTTTCATATGCATTTCCTCCTCAGCTCAGCACTATCCTTGGCCCTGGGAGGAACGTTTCCTCGACTCAGAGTAAAGATTTCAAACTTTTATTGATATCGCCGCCTGACATATGGAAGATAAATGAATCAATCTCATTCAGGGACTCTGTATTCTCTTCTCTCCGTTGAAGTTTTTATGGATTATCATGTTGGCCACATCAGCTTAAATGTATTCTTCAATGTCAGCTGTCACCACAAAATAAATCTGCAAAATTGCACAAATGATTCAGTTTGAAAGATTTACTGTTGTCATTAGACACAGTAGTTGTAACCCAGCTCTTGGATGTCTGCTGTAAGCTTGTGTATCACACGGCTTCTTGGTCGTTGACCATTGTTAGCAGGTCCAAAGGAAACAAAGACAAACATGCATTCAACACCAGTAACCCATGCACACTTTGAGTTGTCATGCTTTAAAAAAAAGGATATAAGAATACACAAACTGGAGACAAATTAAAGACAAAAAACCCAAAATGAATGAAATGTTACAACTAAAGATGCTTCCATGCAGTAAATTTACCTAATTGCTCTCCACCACCATCATCAAAACACAAATAATGGTGTTCAACCCTCTCAAACAGTGTCAGATATTTGGGAGAATTTATTATAAGTACTGAATATTGCAGTGACTGAACACCTTTCTAGACTTTGATGTTATTTCTTCCCTTTAATTTGCCGTCCATCTGTAGCTGAGAGGCTGATAAACAGTTTACATTTGAAAGCAGGCAAAAAAAAACCCATCCTGAGCAAACAAGTTAACAAGTTTCACATCAGGAAACTTCAGGATGCTCAAAGGGTAAATCAACCCTGAACACGAGAGCTAGCATGGCTAGTAAGCTAGTCACGCATGGTACTATGCAATTGCTCCGACGGCCCATTACACCAGAGCCCCAAAAGTTTGAAAATGTTCCACTGGAGTGAAAGCCTATTTGTCTAACAGGGCATTTTCTGGAAAACAAACGCCCATACACACTCTCCCCGCAGTTAGAGAGATTCATGGCCTGCAATCAGTCGGCCCTGCCGCTGCATGTTTCACACCCTCTGTTCAACTTTGGTGATGTTTGACTTGCAAATTTGCACTGTTGACCAGTAGTAAGCTATTTTAAAGGAGCTACCCTTTGACAAAATGGTGAGTTGGACAGTCAAAAATGGAGGACGCTATCACAGCTTGTTGCACCAACAAGTATAATTAAACCCTCCTCTACTAACTGCTCCACAAAAAGGAAATGGGTTTGCACTTGCTAAATTATAGTCACGTTAGCGACTGAGCAAAGAAAGCTTGTTAATTGGCATTCAGTATTGACTTATTGTCCTGTCAGCGACTGAACTATTGAGCTAGCCAACTGACGTAGCATTTTAAGACTTAGCCTTTTGTCCTGTTAGCAACTAAGCTATTGAGTTTGCTAACTGACATTTGGCATTTAGACATTTAAACGTATTGTTCTGTTAGCGACTAAGCTATTATGCTAGCTAACTGACAGTTAGCATTTTTTGACTTAGCCTATTGCCCCCTTACTGACTGCGCTAATGAGCTTGCTAACTCACATTTAGTATTTAGACATTTATTGTCCCGTTAGTGGCTTTGCTAACAATTGGTAACTGACATTCAGCATTTACTTAATTTGTCCTTTTAGTGACTAAGCAAAAAGCTTGCTAACTGAAATTCAGTATTAAGACATTTATTGTTCTTTTAGCGACTAAGCAAACAAACTTGCCAACTTAAATTGAGCATTTAGATGATTATTGTCCTGTTAGGGACTGAGATAAAAGCTTGCTAACTGGAATTAAGTATTTACTGTCCTGTTAGCAATTAAGCAAATAAGCTTGCTAACTGAAATTTTACACATTTATTGTCCCTTTAGCGACTGAGCAAACAAACTTGCTAACTGAAATTTAGCATTTAGACATTTAGCAACTTAGCAAACGAGCTTGCTAACTGAAGATTAGTATTTAGACATTTTTCATCACATTAGAGATTGAGCTAACAAGCATGCTGACATTTAGCATTAAGACAAGTACTGTCCTAATAGTGACGAGCAAACAAGATGCTAACCGAAATTTTGTATTTAGAAGTTTATTGCCCCCTTCAGCGACTGAGCTAACGAGTTTGCTAACTTAAATTGAGCATTTAGATTTATTGCTTTGTTAGCGACAGAGCCAACGAGTTTGCTAACTCAAATCTGTCATTGAGATATTTATTGTCCTGTTAGAGTCTGAGTAAACAATAATTCATTGTCTGTTTTGCGACTGAGCAAATGAACATGCTAACTGAAATTAAAGTTGAAAAGTTGACAACTGGTGTAAACAACTGATGGTGGAAAGTTTCAACCAACCGAGAACACGCACATGTATAATAATACCTACATTGGATACCAAGATGGCGCCTATTCACTCCTATGAAATTGCTTGCCTAATGTATATGCCAAAAAAAGTTCTAGCTTCCAGGTTTACCTCTGTAGTATGCAACCCACTGAATATTCGCAGCAGTGTTTCTCTCACTGGCTCTGCCCGTGGGTTTCCCTTTGGCTCATAGACTTAATATTGTAATGATGTTAAATGACAAAATATAAAACCACAATACATCAAAAAACCATGATAAAAAGAATCATAACTGACCTTGTTTGCAGTTCGAGGTGTCCTGTCAACAATTTTACAAACGTTACTTTTACAGTTGTGGTCTATGTGGAAAATGCTTTTTGGGCCGCAGTGGATTTTTCTGCTGTGATACTGCGAGTGGCCACTGGGAAAACTGGAAGCAAAGCTGAGCTGCTTACCTGGGGACCTGAAAGAGCACCAATATTTGTGCTGATTTAGAGTTGATTTACCCTTTAAAATGTTACATACAGAGTCATACATTTTATAAACTGGACACATAGAAGACAGATCATGTATATCTCGATTATCTGTGGTCTGATGCAGGCAACGCTCTAGTACAAGCAAGCAGTGCAGTCAAACTGTTAGTGGTTTTGCTGTTGTTGTTTTTACCAGGAGATAAACACACGGGGTCGTCACAGTATGATGTGTACTCTTTGGATGAGATGGCAGGTGATTGACAGCATGAGGATGGAGAAGAGGTGAAGGGTTGGGGGTGAAGGAAGGAGGAGAGTGAAGAGAGGAGTTAAAGATGAGTGTGTTGGATGTGTGAGGCAGGACTATCCTCACACTGTAGGATAGTCCAAATACATGGTGATGTGTGGGAGTGAAAAGGAGTAGATATGAGAATTGATAGAAAGGTCATTATCACAGTAAATGAACTGCACACTGGAATACACCTTTTACAAAATCAAAGTTATTGATTTCCTGCTGTGTGGTTGGAAGATTGGAGGCAATTTGACCTTTGTGTGTCAGGTCTATTCAGATCACTACAGTGCATGCTATATGTTTTACCATTGTGCTCATGAAACTTAAAGGCAATGCTTTGTTTTACAGGTCCGTTATATCTAAATGATTTATCATTTCTATGAGGTCTAATGGAAAAAGCAATGTAATTTGTTACTTATTAGTGTAAAATAAACAGTTCTTTCCTCTCTTCTCTCCCATTGGAGAACTGGAAAAGGTCAAGGCCAGCTCAGTTTTGATTTGAAGCCCAACATACTGTCTGTAGCAACAAGGGTCGTGCGTCAGTTTGTAGCTTCATGTCACCGGCTTCTGTTAAAAATTACCTGTAGCCTGTGGTGCAGTGTTTAGCATTGTTGCCCTACAACAAGAGGGTTCCTGGTTGGGGGTTTAGTAACATGTTACCAACAGAATTTTGGGTGATATTACAGTGTCATGTACTGTGTTACCACCCATAATAGTTTATTGTTTTTATTTTTTATTCATCTGAACTGATTCACTTCCGTTGGTGCGCCACCAGAAAAAAACACCCCAAAAGATTGTTTTGTGTTGTCATGTCACTACAGACTACGTTATAGAAAGGTACCAGTCATCAGCACATCTAGGTCATGGCGTACAGCGCGTTATCATGTTCAGTGTGTTTCTTTTAATAAAACGACATACACCATATCCTGTTCTGCTTTTGCATCCTAAGGCTGCCTGAATACAGCGGGGATAAGGAGCTGGCCTCCAGTATGCTATTTCCTCATCCCAGTGATCGGCACATCTGGGTGATGCTAGTATATGTTGGATGTGTTTCCACTCACATCACCTACAACTCATTCTCTGAACCCATCAGCTGTATTCGTTGTCTGACTTCCGGCAGACGGCGATACAGCCTCTGGGGGCAGACCCGCGATTTTTTGGCATTCTGGTTTGATTTGAGCGGAGGAGGCGAATTTCCGTTTCCGACTTCCGTATAAGTAAATATGCTGAACCATTGCTTTGGATTCAGAGTTTGCAGTGACGCCAATTATGTTCCACCTCATTAGTTCACCGCACGGACCGTTTAACCTGGCAACAACTGCAGATGTGATTGGTCAATATCACGCGGACTACAAACAGCCTACAACCGGAATCCAGGGCTCTTCCTCTCTTCTTCCGGAGGCAAGATCTCCGGGGTTTGCCTACAGACTCTACATTCACTTAATGTAGAGTCTGTATATAGAGACTACCTACAACTGCAGAGCAACACCGGCACACAGTCCTGTTCCTACTCATAACTCTCTCTCCGGGAACTGGCAGGTGGGTCTTTCAGCCCTGGTGTTTGAATTTGCGCTCGTCATAGTGAGTGACTCGCATCCCATTCCGTTTATTGTGCTAACCTCAATATTTGTTCATTGAGTCTCATACCATAGACCCACAAATATTTATCCATATCTGATAATTATCGGGCTTTGATCCTCTGCCTGACCCTCCCTGTGTCCAAGGATATTCATTTATTTAAAAAGGTCTAGGCTGGAGCTTCTGTGAAACAACATGACCCTCATCTATTCAAAATCAACATGAGGTGAAAGTAACTTTGTTATATTAATAAGTAACTTAATACTCTGCACAGAGAGTATTACTGTAAAGTGCTTTATTACGTTCAAATGAAGGTAACTAGTAATATGTAGTATAGGCTATTATATTTTGAGAGTAACTTGCCCAGCACTGGTCGCTCATAGTGTGAACACATGATGGACAGATATGGGAATGAGTAAGTGTGCAGTATTTCCCAAAATGTCTGACATGCTTTATGTATAAAGTAAATAATAACAGGAATATCATCATGTCAATATGGTGACATTTTTGTTCGGTGTTTTGATTTCAGGGGTCATTAACAACCCAAATTCTGCATTCACCGAAACGTAACATCACACCAAAGAGCGCGGCACAGTTGCTCCCTCTTGATTTCTCATGTTATGCAGCTTTTCTCTTTATCTCCAGCTATAAATGAATGGCCTTGTAAGCCTGATCACGGCACCAGTGAATAGGCAGTCTTAAGCAGAACTGAAAATGTTTGAAGGAGATCTTGACTGCTGCTTTTACTTCAATCAATCAGTTACATAGCATCGTTCTCAGGGAAATTCATTTTCTGTTATCTCACGACAATGAAGTAATTAAAGTCTGATCACAGAAAGTGGAATTTGATCACTCGAGACAATTAAGTTATGAGCTGGAGATAATAGGATTAGAAATATGTGAGGAAATAAAGCTGATGACAGTTTCTGTAGTGCAGCAGGTAACGCATGGAATTTTAAAGAACATGTAAACCCGGGAAATCATAACTTTAAAATAAATAAATGTTTTATTTAAAATAATAACTGCATGTTAACACCATGAAGTGCCCTTTCCATCCATTCTACCAGTGTATGATGTATAAGTGAGAATGAGAAGGAGTGGAGCATGTACTCAGCTGTATTTCTACACTGGTACATAAACTGTCAGCTGGTGGACTAATATATGTTAGAGTCGAGGTGAATGTGAGTGTGAGAAAATGCTCTCCTTAAAACAGTGTGTCATTTTCAATACGTCCGGCTGTCAAGTGAAGGGAAGCACACAACACTTAAAACACTTTAAACAGTGTTAAAGGTCCAGTGTGTAAGATTTAGAGGGACTGAGTGGCATCTGGAGGTGAGGTACACTGTACATTACTATATTTACAATATAGTCTTGGGATACCTACCCAGACGACTTAACACCCATTAACACCTGGACCCATCTAACCCTCATGACACACGATGGCCAGGTGGCAGGTGTGAACACAGCAATCACACTCAGGTGCGCACCAAAACAACCACACCGAGACCTTCTTGAAGAGGTGGTCTCAGTCTGGTTACAAACAAACTCTGGTGCGGTTTGTCTGTGGTGAGAACGTGTTCCGACCTGGATCTGAACCAACTGCAGTCACATGACACATTGTTTGGGTTAAACATGAGCATGTTACAGTCCTGGAGGATTATTAAAGGACAACTTCGGTATTTTTCAACCTGGGCTCTATTTCCCCATGTGTATGTGTGCATATGATTCATGGGTACCACTCGTTCTAAAATTGGTTCAGTATTGAGCCGCGAAACGAGCTAAAACGGCAATGGGGGCAAATGTGTCCCGTATAAAAGTGCTTTTTTTTGCCACTGACCAGTTCAGATCACCAGTGTTATCTCTGTAAATAGCATATTGTAGCGGCCCTGGGGCAGTGGTGAGTGTGAATGAGTGGAGTCAGCTGTCAGTCAGTGTTGGAGCAGAAAGGTGGAAGGTGTCCCCGCTTGGTAATGTAAATGAGTATGTAAGTGTGAAGTATGTGTTACGCTAGAAGAGTCAGAGGACAGAGTCTTTTACGTGCTACCCCCTGGAGTGTTACTGGAGTTTTTGGAGTGCTCAAATAAATGGGCCTTTTTCCCGAACGCAAGAACAGGATGTCGCACAACACCCCGTACAGCTTTCACAGGCTGCCTTTGACGGACGGCGAGATGCTGAAGTTGTGGCTAGTTGTGCTACAAATGGATGCTAACACTCCTCTCCAGACACTGCGCCTTGCAGACCACCGGGTCTGCAGTGCTCACTTCTCCCAAGACGATTACTGCCAGCCGAAGAAGAGAAGACATCCAATCCCGAAACACCTCTTCCTCAAGAAAACAGCTGTCCCACGAGTAGAGAGAGCTCGTGGCATCACACAGCCCAGAGGTAAGGGAGAGGCTAAGTTAGCATGCTATTTACAGAGATAACACTGGCGATCTGAACTGGTCAGTGGCGAAAAAACACACACTTCATACACACATACTCACTTACAGTACCCAGCGGGGACGCCTTCAGCCTCTCTGCTCCAACACTGACTGACAGCTGACTCCACTCATTCACACTCACCACTGCCCCAGGGCCGCTACAATATGCTATTTACAGAGATAGCACTGGTGATCTGAACCGGCCAGTGGCGAAAAAAAGCACTTTTATACGGGACGCATTTGCCCCCATTGCCGTTTTAGCTCGTTTCGCGCCTCAATACTGAACCAATTTTAGAACGAGTGGTACCCATGAATCATACGCACACATACACATGGGGAAATAGAGCCCAGGTTGAAAAATACCGAAGTTGTCCTTTAATGTGCACCTCCTCCTGTACTGCCTTAATATGCACATTCAGCACATCCAATGCATCTAAACATTGTTTTCTAGTTGGAGCCGCGCCTCGTTTTCAAACTGTATGGTTTGACTAAAATGAACAATGACAGCAATATAGTCCACGATGAGCAGCGCTAAAATCAACCTGCGTAGTTGTCCCTCCATTGTGACATTAGAAAGTGTCACATTTATCTTGCAAGTGTACTCTTCTTCAACGTTTGGTTTACTTCCTGGATTTTTCCCACATGGAAATTCTGACCAAACAAGAGCAGCTTTCTCACACAAGGCATTTGATCTGGTCCGCTTGTAAATGCTGCCGTGAGAACATAAACCAACTCTAGGCAATTATATAGCTTTGTCACAAAATTAGTCCCTGATTCAGACCAAAGCAAGACAACTCTATGTCTGAAAGCATCCATAAACGTCTCATTCTAAGGTAACAAAAACACCATGATTCTTAGTTTCAGGTGATCATACACTAAAGAAAACATACTCATTATATTATGTTACATTTCTGCCAATTTATCCTCCTAAATCCTACACTGAACCTTTCAAGCAGCACAGATGTTGAGATATTATCACTGACATGTTGAAAAGAAAAATTCAATGGTGTGTCCCCTAATTCGACACATGGACGTTGAAAATAATGACCTTCATGAGAGCGTGCCCACTTTTGAAGTCTGCTTCAAAAATGCCTGAATGGTTGTTGAGAGATGCTTAGATGAAACGTAGATGTGTAAAGGATATGTGAAGAATGGGTGTGAATGAGTTGAAGGAATAATAAAACATTACAAGCCCATAATAATCACATTATGATGGAATTATTGAATGACTGTTGAACTGAATGGTGCAAATAATCTATGAAAAGATGACAGTCACCATAAAAATTAATAATCAACAGTGGCTCGTGTTACCTGTCAGCGTTTTATAGTCGAGCAGATCAAAGAGAACGATGGCGACTCCCGACCATGTGATGATCAGAGCCACAACCAGCAGCCAGGCCATCGGTGAACTGAAGGTCAGAATGACTTCATCCAAGAATGACTTCTGATTGGTCTGAGCAGGAGATGCTTCCTCCCCACCGTCGGTTTGACTGCTCATTGTTGAAGCGAGCTGAGGACGGGAGAGAAGTTTGAAACATTAAGACATGAATATGAAAAATAAAGCAAGAAAATTAAGAGAGACATTAAAGAAAGAAAAGTGGAAGAGGCTCAGTCTGTATGTCCTTCGCATATCTCAGGAGCCATTCATCAGATGCACTTCAAACTTGGTGGCTGTATTACTGGAGACCAAAAAGACATGAGCTGGTGCATTTTAGACATGTGACACATTCAGTATCAATAAACTTTGAATAAACACACAACCAGCACTCTGTACAGCAGCAGGGGCAGGGCGAGTTCACTTTTGCTGCTAGATGCTGTATACTAATGTTAAGACCGAACTCAAAAACTACTTGGCTAAGTTTATAAAAAGGATTATGTTTTAAAATAAGAACATTTGTTACCTAATGTAAATATGTAATAGAGTGACATCCGTGCATAACGATGAACAGAAATGAACGTTAGTTACGTAACAATGTGACAAAGGTACTAAATTAGGTAAAGTTAAGTTAAAATTACGTTGATTTTTGGTTTCAAACAGGACACGAACAGTCCTCTGGGTGAAAGTCTTGTTTTGTTTAGTGGAGCACCCATTTAAAACATGCATTCAGCGTTTTTTTTTTTTTTTTGGCCACTTGGTGGCAGCAAAAACAAACTGTAAAGACATATTATCACCTTTTAGGTTAATATGGTGAACTTGCAAACTACTGCTTATTTTCACATCTAGCATACACAATGCAGCTAATTAGCATGTTTTATTATTCTGTCATAGCTGTAGTTGGAGCTAACCAAAACAGTTAAGTTGCCAACCTGAAAGCCCAAACAATGAGCTGAAAGACAGTAGAAAAGCTATGTAGAGCTGACAGGATCTGCAGAGTCTGATGGTTATTTTTGTGGGTGCATCACTATGAGCAACACATTTTACATGCAAGTAGTTGTTTGATCTATCTTTTATATAATATATTGATTATAGCAGCTTTATACTGTGGGGAGTGTCTGTGTGTGAGAGTGTAATCTTGAAATCAGGTTTCTTATAATATGCCCTTTAAACTTTTTTTTTTTTTTTTGCTGAGACAGCAGTTTCCTATATTTCTCTAAATTTGCTGATACCACCATTAAAATTGTCAGTATCTATTAACATCTATAGGAATTAGAGGTCAATGCAATTAGCATTTGATTTGGAAGGTTATGATTAAAAGAGATTTTTGGCTGCAGCAACAAACTGACTGACTGTGGTGGTGTTTCATGAGGACAGGAAGGAGAATTTGCTTTAAAACAAACCTGTTACACAGCCCAGTCACCAGAAGAATTGGCATTATATGTTTCTGCAAACCATAAATACTTTACATTTGCACTTTTCTTACATATCATATCAGTGTTTCTAATGTGGTGTGATACATAAGCTGACCTTTGTTATCAGGAGCTAGAGGGGATGGTGGATGGTGTGAGACTCAGGCGAGATGCCTGCCAAGTTGCAGATCATTGCAGACCACTGTTCAAGTAATCTCTCAAAACAGATTCTGCAAAAAAAAAAAAGTTTTCTTTTTTTTACCGATGGATTTTCAGATTGCTGTTCAAGACCAACAACATCAGCTGTTTTTTGTCAACTCTTTGCAGTGTTTCCCGGCTGCGTTTGTGGCACTGAACCTGGGTGTTTCTTAGCAGCACACTGAATTGTTCCCCAGTGGTGTCTGAGCCTATTAACCTGGGTGTTTTTCTACTGACCAGTCCCTCCTTTCCAGCAGCTTTTGTGCCACTAAACGTGGGTGTTCAAACCTCCTGAGACCTCAGCTCCTATTTGTATACATGTTTAATGTCTCCTAGCTATTTGGGATCAGTAGGGCCTGATACATATATAAAACAAAACAATGTCTTTGAACAGGAAATAGTTTTGAAGAAAAAAAAGATGTCCTCATATGGGGTGTGTGTAATAAAGTATAAAACTGATCACCTGAACATTGTTGTGCAAAAACTAAATTACAAATAATGCAACAAACCCTCTGTGATTTGTTTATTTAGAAACTCTGCATGAATTTTCCTTGATCCATACTCCAAGCTAGGATTGTCCTTATGTCTGAAGGAACAGTCTGTCGCACCTAATCAGTCCCAACGTCCTCAAATAAGAGGATAATAAAAGCTTGTTACTGTTGTAACAACTGTACTGTACTGTTGTTGTTACTGTCAAATTTGTTGCCATATCAAACTACAAACATTATCAATCATAAATAAGCAAGTTCCAACCATAAAATGTGATCAGGTTTTGGACCTTAAACACTTTGGTGTCAGAATCGGCTGCAGACTGACTTGGCAGAGATGGCTGCCATCTTGTTTTTACATGGGTTAGTGTATTGTGCTCTTACTACCACAAGATGGCACAAAAAAGTATCCATGAATGAGGACAAGAGGTCTGAGTTAAGTAGAATGAAGTTTAAGGTCCAACAAACACAGAATGTGATGTCCTCATATGATGGCACAGGGTCTCAGGAGGATAAGCCGTAAACGTAGAGTTTCAGCATATCCACTACAAAGCAGTGCACACATGTAACGCATTCCTGGATCGCAGAAACGTACAGTGCAAATATTTTCCTCTGGCAACTGGGTTGTATTAAAATAATTCTAAATAAACTACAGAAACTTTTGGAGCATTGTGGAGATGGAAGGTTCACTTTGTATTGATGCCTCCTGGTGTCTAAACCACAGACTGTATAAGATAATGGACCACCCTGATGTCACCTTTTGGTTTGTGATCTCCCGGTTTGAAGCCTTGAATTTGACATTTTGGTCATCGCCATCCTGGTTTTACAGAGCCCCACCCTTAAATATGCATAACTTTAAGCCTTAATAAAATGCAAACAGGTGGGTCATATAAATCAAAAAGTTGTCATGAAAGTTAAAATTAACTTAAGAGACCAGCATCGTTTTTTGTACCAGCCTGTAAACATGTTTATTTCTGCTGTAAAGTTGGGGGGTCATAACATGGAGTCTGTGGTGATTGACTCACTTTTGAAGCCAGCCTCATGTGGCCATTAGAGGAACTGCAGTTTTTGGCACTTTTTAGTGACTAGCCTATATTTTAGCTGCTACTGGTTGCTAACTGGCTGAATTGTTTGGATGTGTACACAGAAAATTACTTCCAATCTTTATCGATGCTGAATATCATTACTTGTTTATTTTTTTCACCACTGTCTTTAGTATAACCAGTATAACTTCCCAATGATTATCAACACAAACTTACAGTAAATACAGCCGTATACATTTTACTCCAAGCATCAGCAACACCTGTGCTTACTGGCATGAACTTTAATACTATAGTCTGCCTTAGCCAATGACATAAGCCACCATGGTGGAATCCTACATTTCACACTAATCAAACATATGGCTCCAACAGCGTCATTTTTCATCTCTGGAGGTTGTGACTTGATCACATCACAGGATTATAGACCATAATGATGTTGATATAAGCCTGACTTGTGATACTGAAATCTTCCCACCATAAATTCACTGCTGAGTCCAATTTGTGTTCATTTTAATCTGTGTTTGGTGAATAATATCAGCATATGTAAAACAGGCATGTCTGTTGCAGTCATGTGTCTTTTGATTAATGCTCCCAGCAGCTGTTTATTCACACGGATGTCAGTGAATAACTCAAGTATGTTTTCTACGAGGATGAGGAGGAGAAAGAGTGGGAGACAGACAGAGATTACCCGGGGTGATGAGGAGATTAAATTCCATCTCACTTTGAAAAATCTGCTCTACAAGACGAATTACTTCTCTAAAGAAAGTTTTCATCATTGTATGGCAGCGGGGCCGCGCGCCATAACATGATTATGTCCCCGCGTTAGGTTGTTTGTGTTCATTATGCGCCGTGCTGCGATCAACGCCTGAGATGATTTATTTTTCCTTCTGTTTCTCCGCCTGCCTCTCACACAGCTTATCTGCAAATATAAAGTGATCGCTACACTGTTGTGGAGATCTGAATTAAAATAGGGACTGACTCACTTGGAAGAAATATGCCCTTCTCAAGGTTATTAATGAGGCCCCTGAAGGATGCTGATCCACGTGAGTCCTGTAAGCTCTGTGTCCAGCTGAGGCATTTCACACCGTTCATTATGACAGCCTTGTTGACACAATTAGGTGGCAGCTTGGACTCTAATGGTTCTCATCTTCACCGTCAATTAATAGAAGCTGACTGTAGATTGGTGACAATGTTCCCCTCTCTCCTCATTAAAAAAAATAGCTGTACCTTGAGGCACATTTCAGGCTTTTCCTCAACGTATAAATATATACTTCCACTTGAGTAAATTTCTTAGATGATAACTTATGATGTAGCCTGTGCACTCAAACCCAGCTGACACGCTCGGCTGCAGAAGATCACGATTAATCAGAGATTCAGCAACAAGTATTAGAGCTTGATGCAAAATGCAAGAGCGCTTAAACACGGCTGGATCAACCTGTTAGAGGGCCTGAGGGCAGAATTTCAATATTAGGCCCCAAAATCCCTCCGTCCACCCACAACCCACCCTCTGTGTACGAATGCCTCCAAGCTCCTATCAATGGAAGTGCGCTCATTACACTATACGTGGCAGAATTAGATTATCAGAATGAGTTGTTTTGTTTTGTAGATTCTCTCCTCGTGTATCATGTCTGGTTTTACTTCCTGTCTTTGTGTTTTCCCGCCTGTTTTCTGTCACACCTGTCTTATTAGTCCTTCCCTGTTCCCAGAGTCTTCCCTTCACACCTGTTCTGTGTTAGTCTTGTTTGCTCCACCCTAGTGTTCCCCACCACACCCTTGTTGTTCGTCAATCCCCATTTCCCTTTCCCTTCCTTTTGCCCGTGTCCTCCTACTCCAGCAGTGTCTCGTTCTTTCAATTAGTTTTCTAACAATATCAGGCTAGGTACCTTGATGAGATGCCTGTCAAGCTGCAGACCACTGTTGGAGAATAGCAACAAAACTGTTTTCACTGGGGATAGTGCAATATAAAGCACATCGCTGCAATTCCTGCTGAGATGATC